GCAGTCATCCAAAAAGTGTTTATTGCCAAAGATTTGCAGCTGTTTTCGGTGAGATTACAGACTACTGTCTCACACATTGTTCAGTACTGAGATAATTCTCGACCTCTATGAAAAGACATGCAACAGCATCGTAGATGAATTGGCTAAAGCACAGAGCCTTGCTCTGGCTACAGATAGTTGGACATTGTGGGCAACAGAGAGTTATCTCACTGTTACTGTTCACTATATGTCCTTGGGAAATAAAGAGTGCAGTACTCCAAATCCGTCCCCTGTATGAAAGTCATACAAGTGCTCATTTGGCAGAAGAGTTTACAAATGCAGTGAATATGTGGAAGTTGGGGAGGCCAAACATGTTACTCCCAGTAACCACAGATAATGCTGCAAATACTGTGAATGCAATGCATGAAGCTGATGGGCTGGGGCCACGGATAGGTTGCTTAGCACGTGTTGTAAACCTCGCAGCCAAGAAGCCTTGTGGGGAGGGTCAGAAAAATAGTGACTTTTTTCACAAAAGCACCACAACCAATCATGTTTTGACTGTGAAGCAGGAGATGTTAAACTTGCCCAGACACAAATTAATTCATGATGTCACAACTCGGTGGAATTCAATAAATTACATGTTGGAAAGATACACAGAACAGAGGCCCGTCACCTATTCTGCCTTACTGGACAAAAAGGTGTCTGTCAAGAACATAGCAATGTTGAATGACAGTGAACAGAAACTGGCAGAAGAACCTATTCAGGTCCTCAAACCACTGAAAACACTGACAAGTCTCTTGATCAGTGTAACAAGGCACATTATATCGATGATCCTTCCCTTAAAGAGATCTCAAATCCATGGCACCAGGAGTTCAGGACAGTGCAACAGTCAGAGAAGCCAAAGCAGCAATTACAAATAACCTGGCAAGGCGGTACACTGAACCTGAACTTCATGATTACCTCCAGCCCTGGACCCCAGGATTAAAACCTGCCATACTTTGATGACAACTCTCTTGATAGGCTCATCATCATCAAGAGAAATTCTGGAGCATGAACAGCAGGTACTATTTGATTATATTTTTTGTTAACTGTATGTGATTTTCATATGTTACAAAGGAGATGGCTGTGGTTCTGAGGTGTGTATGCAGGTGTGTGCATCTGTGTGGGGGAGAAGCAGTTATACTAAGTGATCTTTCCCTTTGATACACAGGCTCTAGCACAGAAACCTGTGCCCTCCACAGAGGAAGAAAATCCATCCTCTCCCCCTCCCGAAGAAGACCACAGGGGCAGAGGTATTTGAGGAGCTTTTCAGAACAGAGGAACAACAGACCAGGCCCTTTCACTTAGGAGGAATTCACCATATACAAGTTAGCAGACAATATTCATGAGGATGCTGATCCATTCTTGTGGTGGGAAACAAATGAATGAAGTTCCCCCATGTAGCAAAAGTTGCACAATGACACCTCTGTGTCCCAGGTACCTCTGCTGCGAGTGAAGTGTAAACTGCCCTTACCTTGCTGCAGACAATGTTGGCAATGTGGGCTTATCTTTTTACAGAAAAACCTCAAAATACAGGAATATATAGTTGACTGAAGTGAAATTGCACTTTACATTCTAAATGAAGGCTAACTGTACTAAAGTGCTGGTAAATTTCATTGAGATGTTTAATTTATGTTTACTGAAGTACTGGTATGTTTGTATGAAATGGTCAATTTATGTTTACATGTATGCTCATTTTCAAAATGTAGGAATTCATGTGTCAGCTGTGTGTTGCCAATGTTAAGAAGCACTTTTTTGTTCTGGAAGTGTTCATTTATCTATTTATTTATTAAAATAAAGAAAGAGTATTTTAATAATAATAGTATTTTTTCATCTTATCCTATTACTGTTACTGTGCCATCAGAACCAAACAGAAACTAAATGTTTGCTAACTGAACTGTGGGCTAACTGTATTGTTGCGTCCCTAGTAAGGTGTTTTATGTATAGAAACACTGTGATAGCAGTTAGGGCCACATGCTGTATGTTTTGTTCAAATAGTTAGAGTACGTTAGCTAGAAAGGATAAGTCTTTTATATTTTTCTTATTCATCAGAGGCCTTCCTGAGCTTGAGTGTTTTTTAATGTTCTGTGATTTGATGCCACTCCCCTTGATTGTTTTGTACTTCATTTTGCTTTCATTGCTGCATTGTTTATATAAATAAATAGGTTTATTATTGCATTGTACCTTCAGTGTCATTTTTGTCCTAGCACATGCATAATAATTTATACAAAATTTGAATGTTACTCTTCTTAAACTCCTCCAACTGTGGGTCTCTGTAGGTCGTAATTAGCCATTTATCAAATTATGAGAGATCTTGACATCTTTCTAATTTGAACAAGTATAGTTCCTATTAAACTACTGTTAAACTGATGGTTTGAGAGAATAAATAGGCTTAAATAAAAACAGTCATTTAGTCATTCATTCTATGCCTTTGCCTAGATTGCTGTCAATGTTTACATATGGGTTGACAGTTTATTTTAATAAATATCAAAATTGTTAAATGTGTGGATAATACCTCACACCTGCTTGAACACTTTACAGTTGGTTGTGTGTATTCTATGTACATCTGCACAAGAATATCTAAAGCTTTTTCTGTCCCTACTAGGCAGAATTACTCTGCAACATGCATTAGACTGATTTGCCATTAAATGTGCGGCTAGTAGAGGATAGTGAATCTAGTGGAGGATTGAGAAGATGGATCAGCTTTTAGGATCTGTATGTACAATAATGCAATAGTTGCATTAGTGTATTTAGGTTTGAATTAAGTATGGCTTTGTGTGTTTATGAGGTAGAGAGAGTTGGAGAAAAATCCAGTAGAGTATGCTGAATATTAATAGCAATTAGGCACTAATAGGCTTTCTGGATTTCCCATCATCCCACCTAACCAGCGAGAATCCAGAACAAAAATTGAAAATGAAGTTCTACATGCATTTCTGCTTTGTTTCCTGTATGGATGGCAGTCAACAGCATGTTGTCACTTATTGTGAGACTTAGAGAAGAAGGTGCAGTTTACTGGAGGCACAGTAGGTGAAAACACCGATAAATTAAATGGAAATGTCAAGGATTGCATTTATTTGGAGTTGGGAGAATGTCAGATGAATCACACAAGGAAATAAACACACAACAGTAGGCAATGGGACAACGGAATGGAAGAACAAGAAGTTCAACAAGGAGAAAACACAGGTAAGCAATCCACTTGTGAGTATACAAAGGCCCATAGAATCCTTGCAATTACACAGTAAAGAGACCAGACAATGTGTGTGTGACACTGGCAGTCTTTAATTGCAGGAAGATGAGGAGCAGTTGTGGTTCATTAGTCCGGGGAGAGCAAGCAGAGTGTCCATGGAGTAGGATGTGAGACACGTGATACATGAATATAAACAAGTCTATCAGGTTTACGTCTGGTAACACAACAGAGAAAACGAAACTCTTCTTAGAGAAAAGGACAACGCAGCCTAGCAGTAGAAACTCAGATGCTGATTATTTGCTCCCACAATGAAAGGTGAGAGTGAGCATGCAAACGTGCAATGATGTAATCTTATGTTTAGTGTGCTTAACCCTAAATTTTGATACATTTCTGATACACCTTGGATTGAAGTAGAAGTAGAGTTGGTGTCAATAAGGAAATATGTGCTATAGAAAGCACATTTGGAGTTACTCAAGTAATACAAGATAAACAAGGAATAGTGGCATAAACAAAAAAGGTTTGAATGATTGATAACTAGCTCAAGACATTGAAACAAGTAGATAACCAGGTGAAATACTATAATCATATTTGAATACTTTGTAATTCACTGTAAAATTGTTGCTTTTATTTAATAAAACATATTCATCAAATGCCTGGGTTTTACTCATAATTTAAACTCAAGAGCAACAGTTCTGACCTCACTTTCTCAATAGCTATGGATTCCAATGAGACATCTAATGGACAAAAATCAAATATGTCAAGGGGCTCAACTTTTTTGAACTACTTGCCACCTGCACTACTTATCTTTGTTGGATTACTGGTGCACCAGGTATGTACTGTTAATTTAAATTAATGACAGATGCAGGGAGCATAGCATTGCCAATATAGAGAGCTTTACAGGAAATAGAGAGGGAAATTTACCCAGTAGTCATTGTGCACCACCTAAGTGCTACAATAAGTTTATCTAAAATAAATGGAATGAAATTAGGTCTCTTGCGATTTTAAAGAGTTTGATGAATCTCAGCCATTTGCAGGTATAAAGTGCACAACATAGTTATTACAAAGTTCATTCAATCATCATGACCATGAGTTACATAACAGTTAAAAAGACATGAATTTCACATAAAAGATCATAACAGAAATCTGCCACCTAATTTATGTTTTCTTGGATATTACAAATATAATTATTTAATTCTAATATATATTTTAAATACACATGTATTATGTATATACATTTATATATATTTAAAGTTAATATTATATTTACTTTCCTCAAATTACTATGCTATTATAGCCTCTAATCTATGCAAATGTGCGTTTCATCTATGCATGTTGCAAGTGAAGTGAATTTTGACAGATGTCCACTACTTAGTGAGGAAGCAGTGAACATTACAAAGAGGCATTGCCAGTTAGTATCTACATGGCTGTATTTTTGATGTTTGTCTTAAAGAGTCTATTTCATTTGAGCTGCACACCTGTGTTCTATAATAATTAATAAAATGAATGCTTAATTTTATTACTTCTGTTTGAAGATTAAAAATGTGTTGAAAACATGAATGTAATGCGATGTATGTGAAACAATGTATAATATTATGTATTATATCTTTCAGATGCATGTGCAACAAAATCACAATTTGAATGATTTAGGTACTGTTGTTTTCTTGAAAATATTGATATTATTATATGATAAGTATTATAATTATTAGATATTATCACTTATTTATACATTTAGACTGAAAAAGAATAGTAATAACTGTGTATAATCCATATATAATGTATGTACATTGCACAGTATATGAACAATCAAATTCCTATTAATCATCCAGATGAACCGCTCCGGATTCTTTTGGTTGGAATGACAGGGGCAGGAAGAAGTGCAACAGGAAACACTATCTTGGGGGAAAAAGTATTTAAATCAGAGTTATCCTCCTCCTCTGTGACTAAGCAATGTGAAAAAAATAATGCAACGGTAAATGGAAGAAATGTATTAGTTATTGACACTCCGGGTCTGTTTGATACCAGCCTAACTAAAGATGAGGTGATCAACAGAATTAAACTCTGTATCCCTCTCTCTGCTCCTGGTCCACATGTCTTCTTAGTTGTGGTTCAGCTGGGCAGATTCACTGATGAAGAGGCAGAAGCTGTTAGGATCATTCAAGCTGTTTTTGGTGAGGAATCCTCCACATACACCATGGCACTGTTCACTCATGGAGATCGATTAAAGGGCAGAAACATTCACAAATTTGTGCGTAACAGTCCAAAACTGCTCAGTTTCATCAAAACATGTGGTGGAAGATTCCATGTGTTTAATAATGAAGAAAATAATCCAGAACAGGTCAATCAGTTGTTTGAACAGATTGACAAAATAGTCACTGGGAATGGTGGTCAACATTACACTAATGAGATGCTTGACAGAGAGAAAGAATTTGAGGCAGAAAAAGGTCATATCCTGAAAGAGAATGAGGAGCAGAGACAGAAGAAAACAGAAACTCTGAGGGTTACATCTGAAGGTGAAGCTTTTGAAAAAGCAAAAGAAAAACTGGACAGTGAATATGAACAGCAGGCACGATGGCAAGCTGAGAAAAATGTTCGTATGCAAAATGGTGGGTTCTCTTTTCTTAATAATGTAATAACTTTTTTTCAAAAGAAACTTAAATCTTGAAAAGAGCAAGGAAAACATTTCACTCAGATCAGGTGGAATCACATGCACTAAACTCCCTGCTAAACTAAAATTTAAATTAATAAAATATGCAGCGCTCAGCAACAAAGACATAATGGAGATGTAGAAACTTGGCAAAATGTTCCTGGCCTTTGCATGTATTGTTTTATGTACTGAAACATTCTGCCACAATGTATATTCAGGGATAAATACATATGATACATTATGTGTTTGTGTATATAAAGTTTAGGACCTTTTCTAGGTTCTTTAATCATAAACTAGGACTGAATGAGAATGCAAAACAATGTGAACCAGGACAGGTTCTTCTTTTTTTGTCTACGAAGTGCACAATGCAGGAGCATGATGTAGCAGTCACATGACTGGTGTTATCAATTTTCCCCTAGGCCTTTCTCACAAAAATCAGAAATGATGTAATGCAGGGCTGGTTTGCAATGGGCTTATTCCTATGTTATATTAGTATACTCTTTTCTCATGAAACACTTTTAACCTTTTCTGTTTTGTCTGTTTTCCTAGCTGTTTTTAATTACAAAGAAATAAAATGTTACTTGTTTGTCACTCATATAGTTCCTGATAATATGTCAATTTTTTGACTTGTTTAACAAAAGTTTTGAAAGAAAGTCTTAATGAAAAGAAGTTTGCTTTTATTCAGGGAGACATTGTGAGAGTTAAAGACAAAGAGAAGGAATTTAGAACTAAAGTAAGGATGCAAAAGAATGAATAGAGCTGAACAGAAATGTTATACAGGAAATGTAAAAAACAAGCATAGGAAGGATTGTAAGTAATGATGGCGAGAGAGAAAGGGTACAACAAAAGGTACAAATTGAAGATTATGTAAGGTTTGTTAATGAATGTAATCATTTTAGAATAGTTTTGATTCTACGGATGCTAAAATGAACAATGGAGAATTCCAGTGGGTCCAGAACTCTTGCTAGCAGGAATTGGCTGCATGTTTAGCTCATATTAGTGTTAATAAAGCACCAGGTCCTGATGGTCTAAAGGGGGAGGGTTTTAAAAGTATGTGGACATCAGCTTAAGGGGCTCCTTTTACACAGCTATTTCAGACATTACTGAATGAGTATACTGTACAGTCCCACATTTGTGGAAAATATCCACAGTAATACTTATCCCCAAGACATCGGGGGCAACATTACACTCTTAAAAAATAAAGGTGCTTCACGATGCCATAGAAGAACCTTTTTTTCTAAATGGTTCCATAAAGAACCTTTAACATCTGAAGAACCTTTCTGTTTCACAAAAGGTTCTTTGTGGCGAAAGAAGGTACTTCAGATTATAAAAAGGTAAGAAAGAGATGGTTCATTAAAGAACCTTTGACTGAATGGTTCTTCTATGGCATCGCTGTGAAGAACCTTTTAAGCACCTTTATTTTTAAGAGTGTACCTAAAAATTACAGGCCATTTTCTTTGACCTCAGTTCTGTGACCTACAATACTTTTGACCTCAGTAACCAATAACCTACAAATTAAAAGCAATACAGCTGGTCTTGGTGCAACTTTGTTCAAAGAGTCAATTTATTTCAAAAATATTATGGCCTTGAAGATTGGTGTAAAATGAAAGCCAGGTTAAGGAAGTTAAGATTAAATGGTCAGGTTGTTGAGACTGGAAAGTTTTGAATATATGGGCATATATTTGGATAAAAGGTTGAGTTTTAATGAGAACGTAGACAGTATTTGTAGGAAAGCAACTGAAAGGTTGTTTGTTATGCAGAAATAAGAAAGTGTTTTGATGTTAGTCAACAAGTCTTAGAAATGGTATATAAAAGGCATGATGAGATTCGCAATCGCGAACAGACCAAAGGGGCCCCTGCTCCCTACCTCGCACTGGGCCCCGCCCCAGCTTGGGATGGCCCTGATTACATGTCATTTTCATGTGCAATAAATGACACATTGGACAGTAAATAAGTTATATGGCATGCATAACTCTAATTATTGAAAATGTGAAGAAAAAATGCCTGAGAAAATGCGTTTGGTTTTGAATCCTGCACCACTCGTGGCATATTTTTTCCAGAACTACTGTTGGGAACACAGCTAGCCAATCCATGTTTGTTTAGCTGATGGCTAATTTGAACTAAACAGAGATGTGCTACATTTGTGATTGGAATGACACATATCTGTCTATAATATACTAAAACAAGCACCATGCAACATACAGAATTTTAATGTTACTTTCCTTAAACCCCTAATCTTCTCAACCTTCACTGTCAAGCACACTACAACAGACTGTGGACAGATGGGCAATTGCACCTGTGGGTGAGCCCACTCAATGGACTACATTAACCAGGCTGGTTCAACTGGTGGACCAGCATGTTTTTAGACTAGTCCCTTACATGCACATTTGGTAACATAGCATCTGTCAAAACCATCAATTTCATCTGCACAGAAGAGAAGCCATAGCATGACTATGCAAGTAACATGCAGGGTTTTTTTTTTTGTTTGATTTTTTATGTTTTTTTGCTTCAACCACTAGTATGCCATTGCAAATTTAGCGCAGTGAATCTTTGGTCTGTCTCAGGACTGAATACATTTTAAACAGGAGGACTGATGAAAAAAACAAAACAAACAAAACAACGGTATTATCGTGCAGTAGCGCTTTATACTCTGTAGATGACAGTCTACACCAGGTAGCTGGTTAAGGCTAGAAGGGATACGGCACTACTGGACATCAATACATCGTAATTATTGTCACACTGTACAACAATAATTACTATTTTTTCATTATTGTAAGGGGTAGGTTTAGGGTTGGGGTAGGTGTAGACGTTAATAAAACACAATCTAATAGGTAGAAAATTTAATTTCATTGTTCGTTTCCGGTCGGAGCTGTATCCCTTCTAGCCACAACGTAGCCCTTCAAAAGAAAGCCTAGCAACTTTTTGCAGAGAAAGGAAAAAAAAAATGGAAACCCAGTTTACATTTATCCGGTTAAACGTTAGGTAAAAGTCCCTTCAGATCCCCAAAGCAAAAGGAACTGCTAATATAGCCTACATTCACGAGGTGCTATAGTAGGCCTAGGTTCTACTGAAAAATCATGATCCGAACGTTTTAAAAGATGAAAGATTTGCTATAAACGAATAATGCTCATAAACACTTGTTGAGTGAAAACAGTATTCAGTAGGCCTACATCAAGACACAGATACTCACACAATGTGTTCCTCAGCTGTATTTAAAGCACTAGCAAAGAGTGCTGGTGTAAAACGAATAAAAGCTTAATGGGGAATACTTGCATAAAAAAAATAAATATGTATATAATAGAACAACTGAAATATTCTCATAATAACTTATCTATAGATTACATTGGGGTAATGGATTTTTTATTTTTTAAATTTGCATGTAATGTCAGAGCTGTGGTGCACAGTGTTGCCAACTTAGCAATTTTGTTGCTAAATTTAGCAACTTTTCAGACTACCCTAGCAACTTTTTCCCCCCAAAAGCACCTAGCAACAAATTTAGCTGTTTTTAAAATTTATTTGACAACTTTGTAGCAACTTTTTATAAGTGACTCAAATGATAAAAAGGCATTTACCATTTAAATTTTTTAATTAATTATTATTATTATTATTATTATTAAATTCCACAAAAAGAGGAAACCAAATATGCCTAGCAGTACACACATCACGTGAATTAAATTAGATGCTATATGCAGTTGTTTACTTTAATAATAGGCTAATAATAATTGAATAATTGTTCATTTAAGAAACACTTTGTTAGTAGCCTGTACCTCCGATTGTTGATCAGTTAGTACACTGAAAAATATCCGGAAAAATGGAGAAGGTAGCTACTAGTAATTTTCCAGGACATTATCCGTTGTAACCCTGTAACCCGAAAACACGAAATACAATGCGTAATTAAAAATGCAGGTAAAAAGCCTGTGGAAAAAAAACAATACAGAAAATTCCTTCATATTAACATAGTAGATTGTGCCCTATTTTTACAGACTTTTTAGATTGTAGCATACTAACTACTAAAAAAACTGCTTAAAAGTATAATTGTTCAGAATGTGTAGTTTTACTTGTCTACTTGCTAATAACATTTTTAAAAAAATTGTAATCATTCAAAAATGTATAGGTTTTCAATAATTCAATGTATTTAAAAATAGTTATTTATATTTTAATATTATATCATGCATTTATATTATTTTACGAACAAATCTAAATGAGCATATCTAAAATATATTTTTTGCTGAGATTTGATGTAGTGACAATTTTGTGTCATGATTACATAATGATGTCATCGCGCAATGACATCACAATGTCATTTAGCAACTTTTAGCAACAAATCAACCTTCCTTTATCAACTTCCCATCAAAATTAGTTGGCAGCACTGGTGGTGCAGCAGTTCTTAACATAGAGGACATCCAAACTGCAACATGTCCAACCCACTTCTGCCCCATCTCCCTGTTTCCTCTTCACTGCATTTGTTATTTAGCAAAAGAAAATAATAATGATTGAATGTCATTCATCTTTTATGAGCATTGGCAAATTTTGAATGTATAGCACAATGTATTTTCTTCTTTTTTTTTAAAGTGCAGAGGCAGAGCATTTCTCCTGGACCATCAGCAATGACCTCAAAGTCATGGATCCCATCTTTCTCTACAATACTTCTGTTGCTTTGTGCAATTGTTGCTGCTGTTGCAATAAGGATTCAGGTATGCTTAGATGTATATATATATTTTTTAAATTTTTTCTGTTTTTTTTTTTTAAATAACATATATAACCAAATGTACTAAAAAGTATTTTATCTAAACACTTCTAGATGTTCAGGCAACAAAAACATGACTTGGATAACATGGGTAAATCTATCTATCTATCTATCTATCTATCTATCTATCTGTCTGTCTGTCTGTCTGTCTATCTATCTATCATCATAATGCAGATCGTAATGTAATCTTTTGACATTGTGAAGTTATTTCTTTAACTTCTGCATTACTTTCTTTTTTGTGTTGCCAAAACATGCTTGACTTTGTAATAGAAAGTGTGATGTAAAATTTATATAATACAGCTTAAAGTTGTTCATGTTTTATCAGATATTTAAGACACATATTCAATATAATATTCTTGTTTATGTAATAGTTGCATCAGTACATCATCCAGGTGAACCGCTCCGGATTCTTCTGGTTGGAAAAACAGGGGTGGGTAAAAGTGCAACAGGCAACATAATCCTGGGAAAAAAAGTTTTTTAAATCTGAGATATCATCCTCCTCTGTGACTGGAGAATGTGAAAAATGTAATGCAATAATAAATGGCAGAAAAGTATCTGTCATTGATACTCTATGGGTAGGTTGCACCAGCTGGACGTACACCCGGTTGTAAGACTAGGCTGGACGTAAAATGCGCTTTAAGTCGTGCGTAGAGTTTATACCCATTGCACCATCTCGGCATAGTGCTACGTCTGAGACTAAATCTTACGCCTAGTCAGAGGTAGATGTAAAGTGAAAAGTCATGATTTTCTCTGACATTATTCGTTTTTAGGATTCATGTCTGTTAGTTAATTATTACTGCAGATGTGAACTGTAATGTTTTTGGTATTTTCGGGCAGGATAAGCAATATCCATCGCGAAGCTTGGTGTAGACCAGGGGTGTCAAACTCAATTCCTGGAGAGCCGGAGCCCTGCAGAGTTTTGTTCCAACCCTGCTCGAACACACATACCATGTAGTTTTCAAATAAGCCTGAAGGACTTGATTAGTTGGATTAGGTGTGTTTAATTAGGGTTGAATCTAAACTCTGCAGGGCTCCGGCCCTCCAGGAATTGAGTTTGACACCCCTGGTGTGGACTATAGCCTACCTGCCGACAGTAATTGAATACAAAATATATTTCTGTACAGCATGTGATAATTATGCAGTAAAATATTACATATGAACTGGGATTATTAAAAAAAACTGAACCATTTGACATCTTGCTTGGAAGGACAGTGTAAATGCTTGGAAATATTTCACGTCTTTAATTCCATTCATTATTTGCAGTGTGCCTGCCATCCAATAATCGCAATAAGGTTTGTGCTTTGTTACTTTTAATCAGAAATAAATTATCAGCTTTCAAATTCTGTCAATTTTATCACAAAATACAAACTATAAACATGTTTTTTCAGCCACAGAAAGACGCCAGTAAAACACAAAATGTCACTTAAAGTCACATTTACCTCAGGAAAGGCATTCATTGTGCATAAACTTGATAGTCAGCTATAAAAAAATAACTCTAGAGAGAAGCATTGTATTACATTTATTATATTTTACTTAACCTTGATGAAACCTTTAATGGGAATGTGCAGGGAGACTTCAGATATAAAAACGCGGACTTGTTAGGAAATGTTTACTCAATGAAATCATAGCGCGGTGATTTCACTTATATTATGTCTTGAGCAATTCAGTTCTATATTAGTAGTTGTAGCCATTGCGGCGTGAACGTCGTCTCAGCTATATCTATAACTGAGGGAGAATGTGTCGGCGTGGACGCGCATTGTCTACGCCGGGCGTAGTCGCGCCTGATAGTAGTTTCAGTTGGTGCAACAGGTGTAAATATTTATCGTAAAGCAGGACGTTGCAAAGCCCAGCGTAGGGCTTACACCCAGCGTTTTTACGTCTAGCTGGTGCAACCGGCCCCAGAACACTCAACACCTCTCACATGACAGCCATAAGCTCACATCCCGACACTTTCGAGTTTTGTTCCAACCCTGCTCCAACACACATACCATGTAGTTTTCAAATAAGCCTGAAGGACTTGATTAGTTGGATTAGGTGTGTTTAATTAGGGTTGAATCTAAACTCTGCAGGGCTCCGGCCCTCCAGGAATTGAGTTTGACACCCCTGGTGTGGACTATAGCCTACCTGCCGACAGTAATTGAATACAAAATATATTTCTGTACAGCATGTGATAATTATGCAGTAAAATATTACATATGAACTGGGATTATTAAAAAAAACTGAACCATTTGACATCTTGCTTGGAAGGACAGTGTAAATGCTTGGAAATATTTCACGTCTTTAATTCCATTCATTATTTGCAGTGTGCCTGCCATCCAATAATCGCAATAAGGTTTGTGCTTTGTTACTTTTAATCAGAAATAAATTATCAGCTTTCAAATTCTGTCAATTTTATCACAAAATACAAACTATAAACATGTTTTTTCAGCCACAGAAAGACGCCAGTAAAACACAAAATGTCACTTAAAGTCACATTTACCTCAGGAAAGGCATTCATTGTGCATAAACTTGATAGTCAGCTATAAAAAAATAACTCTAGAGAGAAGCATTGTATTACATTTATTATATTTTACTTAACCTTGATGAAACCTTTAATGGGAATGTGCAGGGAGACTTCAGATATAAAAACGCGGACTTGTTAGGAAATGTTTACTCAATGAAATCATGGCGCGGTGGCTTCACTTGTTATGATGTCTTGAGCAATTCAGTTCTATAGGCCTATTAGTAGTTGTAGCCATTGCGGCGTGAACGTCGTCTTAGCTATATCTATAACTGCGGGAGAATGTGTCGGCGTGGACGTGCATTGTCTACGCCGGGCATAGTTGCGCCTGATCGTAGTTTCAGTTGGTGCAACAGGTGTAAGTAATTATCGTAAAGCTGGACATTGCAAAGCCCAGCGTAGGGCTTACACCCAGTTTTTTTATGTCTAGCTGGTGCAACCGTCCCCAGGGCTCTAATCGGGGTGTAGAGCACCTTAGGAACGTATCCCTGCCTTGGTTTTAGGATGACTTTGGAGTCGTTAGGCCCAAACTCAAGACAGGCAGGACTTACTGAGAGAGCCTGCAAGTCACCTACTCATTTAACCGATGCTAAAGCCAGTAGCAGAGCGGTTTTTAACGACAGGGTTTTCAAGTTTGCAGACTGTAGTGGCTCAAAGGGGGAGCCCTTGAGGGCTCTCAGGACCGTGGGCAGGTCCCACACAGGGACCGGGTGGGACCGGTACGGATTGAGCCTCCTGGATCCTCTCAGGAAACGGACAACTAAGTTGTTCTGGCCCACAGACTGTCCGGCTATAGGAGCATTGAAAGGAAGCGGCCCTTGTTCAACAGCTCTTGTAGGTAGGACAATATCACTGATATGTCACATGAAACTGGGTCTTCGCCGCGGGTTGTGCACCAGGCGGAAAAGACTGACCACTTAAGGGCATAGAGGCCTCTCGTAGACGAGGCTCTAGCCTGTGAGATAGTATTCAAGACGCTCTCAGGGAGATCTGATGTATCTGTACTTTTACTCCACTATTTTCCTCCATTTGTGCTCATTACATGCTTATTTTAATTTTATTTTTATCCATCAACGTGACTGGATAGAGAGTAATAGGTCTCGTGACTTTCGTCAAATCAAATTGTGCATAGAAAACTTTAACCGCCAACTGTTTATCATGGCTGCTGGAAGCGCATTCTTCAAGCATTTGAACATTTCTACCCTCAAACTTTTCTCCATGTGTAAACAAAATTATGGCGTGCTCACTTGCATCTTCTCCAAAGATCTTGAGAAAGATGTCCACGGTGTCTCTGTCCTCTTTTGTGAAGCGACCAGGCTGAAGCACCAGTAAGAAGACGTGTGGACCGGGAGCAGAAAGGGGAATACACAGCTTAATTCTGCTGACCATCTCCTCTATAGTAAAGCTGGGGTCAAACAGTCCTGTTGTGTCAATAACAGCAACCTTTGTGCTGTTCACATTCTTTGTAGCTTTCCAGCAAACCTTTGTCACAGACGATGATGACAAATTCACTTTAAAAAACTTTTCACCAAGAATAGTGTTTCCAGTGGCACTTTTTCCAACTCCAGTTTTTCCCAAAAGAACTATCCTCAGCTCTTCACATGGATTCTGCTGCTCTGGCACTGTTTAAAAGCAATGAAAATATAAATTGTATTACTGCATAATGTAATGTTACATCATTTACATGTATATAAAGTCTGACTCTGAAACTAATATCTGTTGAAAATGTTATTCTTCAAGGAGGTTATGTGCCTATGTTTTATACATTTATTTTTTCTTGATAACAAAATTGTTAAATGTGTTCAAGATCACAATGTTCACTGCCGTGTCTTTCAATGAATGTCAGTTGGAGATTTTCAAACTTTAATCAAGTTTGCACCTTGAAAAAATAACTAATGAGAATAACTGCCTTTAATTCCACGTTTCAAGCACAGCCAAACTCAATCAAAAAAATCATAACATAATAATCTATAATGACAAACTTTCTGTTCAGTTTTTTATTTAATAACAAACAATGTTTACACCAGAGTCATTCAAATTTCGACACACCGTTTCCATCAACTAGTTTCTACATTTTCAGATTCATGTGTTTTATAGAAGACAACTGCATATAGTGAATATGCATGCTTTCTTCCAAACAGGCAATGTTTCAAATTCACATTTGTGTACCTACATTTCAAAGTGTTCTGTAATCTCTCAACTGTCTCATTGAAACAATTAGTGTACCTGCTGTATTGCTATCATTGAGTAACTATTTTTTCATCAGCTTCTTCATAATAAAAAACAGTGGTACTAAACCAATTAAATATACCTTCTTGTTGTCCTTGTTGAACAGGCTGTGCAACATTTCCCAAAATGTTTCACTTTGAGTAACATCTGCTTCCACCTTTGTTACTATCTCATCACTTGGGACACTTGGGGCACTCAGAGGACACTCTGGGATTTTACTCTGTGTTGTTGTCTTAGTAAATGCTGCATACATCAACAGAGCTGCAGCGGCAGCAGTCGCAGCAGCAACAATGTAGAAGTGGCGTGTATTCCAGGACTTTCCCTGCTCCTTGTTTGTCCTAACATAATATTTTTTGTTTCTCTTTCCCAACTGACTGTCCACTTTCTCAAAGAGCTCACTGACCTGACATGTGTTTTCTCTGTCAGTATTATTGAACACATGATACTGTGAGCCACATTTTTGGATCAGTTTCTGCAGGTTTTTATCCTCCCTTACAAACTCATCTACACTTTTATTCTTAAGTTTGTCTCCATATGTAAAAAGCACTATTGTGAACAAATTCACATTTGAGCACAACATCTTCTGGAGAGTGTCCATCACACGTCTTTCTTGCTCAGTGAAGCGACCCAACTGAATAACGAGGAGAAAAGCATGGGGTCCGGGTTCACACAGAGTCAAGGATCTTTCCAGCTCCTGCTCTACAATTGTATTAGAAGCATCACTGTTTAATAAGCCAGGAGTGTCCACAACAGTCACTTTCCTCCCACAGACAACAGCATCCCTCCGTTCACTTGTGGATGTGAGAGAAGTGGCGCTGAGGTCTGAGAGAAACTCTTCTCGGCCCAGAATGGTGTTTCCTGCTGCACTCTTCCCAACCCCCTGAAGGCCGACCAGAACCATTCGAAGGTGCTCCTTCACTCCTGGAAAAATGGAACTTCATTTGTTCAAAAAGAAACTACTTTATATATTAACAAACACACAATGTTACACAAGCAATGAACATATAAGCATATGCTTAAGGCATTACATATCTTAAAAAAACAAACATTTTTTACTAAATTATTTTTATTAATATCACATTTACATTATAATTATGCATTGCAGCACTAAAAGAAACTATAGTGATCCAAAATATTTTTTTTCCATTGCTATAGCATTGAATGTATAGACAGTACAAAATGTGGTATAAAGTATAAAATATGGAACAGTAAGTGCTATTGTCATTTCTTTCTCAATAATTGTGCTAATCAATGACAGTTCAATAACTGATTAAGCAATCAGAAAGCTTGTCTCATTGAAGAGGGCAGGTTTTCACAACAACAGCAGCAGCAACAGCACCTCCTGCCACTGCCAAACCAGCTTTCAGAAACGTATTGTTTCTTTCCGCTCTGTCTCTCGCTTCCTGTTCACTCATTTGTTGTTGCAGCATAAGTCTTTCTTTTTCTTTCTCTATTGCTCTCTCAGCTGCCTGAAGCATTTCGTTTGTGTAATACTCTTCACCATTTACAGTCACAAGCTGGTCTATCTGTTCAAACAGCATGTTGACTTGGTTTGGATCATGTGTGTCGTTGTTAAAAACATGGTATCGCCCACTTGTAGCTTTGATGAAGTTCAGCAGATCAGGACTGTCTTTAACAAACTCATGGATGCTTTTCTGTCCACGCTTCAACTTGTCGCCATGAGTGAACAGCACCATGGTGTATTTTGATGCTTGTTCACCAAAGATTTTCTGAATTTGCTCCACAGTATTTTTTTCCTCTGCTGTAAATCTCCCAAGCTGCACAACCACGAGAAAAACATGAGGGCCTGGCGCCGAGAGCGATATGCACAGTTTTATTTTTGCATCAATCACAGTATTTTCCTCTTTTGTGTCAAACAAGCCTGGAGTGTCAATAACGGCCACTTTGTGCTGATTAACATTTCTTCTGGCTTTATCACATTCTTTGGTCACAGAGGAGGAGGACAGTTCTGAATTAAACTTGTTTTCTCCCAGGATGGTATTTGCTGCTGCAGTCTTTCCTACTCCAGTTTTTCCAATCAGCACAATTCTTATTTCATCACTGCTCTTCAGATTCATCTGCACTGTTAAAGGACAAGGATATTATTACATCTGTATTACTTATTAAGGGTTGGAGGGACTTTTTCTCTGTTAAAAGGAGGGAAAATAGTTACAGACCTTTAATTTAACTGCAATAAAAATCAGTATTTTTGTGGACAATTCAGTGGTGTATAGCACCCATTGTTAAAATTTTTGCAAATCCTTTCTTTATGTGTTTTTATCACGTCTCTTGACCCTGCTGATTAACTAACAATATTGGAACTGGGAATGTTCCGGAGATACAATTTTTAGTTCCACTTGAGATTCCTGAAATTTCGAAACCTATTCTAACAGAAAACTTTTAAAATGTTGTAGATGAGTGTTTATAATGATATTCATTATGCCATGAATTCTTTACCACATGAGTGTCAAACAATTGGTGCATTCTATGCATTACAACCAGATATTTTGTGATCTTCAGTTTCACAATCATAAGGAAAACAGCCACCACCATTGTACAGTATATTACATGACATAAAAACCTTGCTTTTGGATAAAGATTTTATTTTGTATTATTTTATCATCATCATAAAATTAATACATGAAATGCTCTACTACACAATTTACAAAATTGTGGCAGTCTTTTCCCATTGCAGCTCTAATATGCTAATATCCTTTAATTAATTGTTGCTGTCTATTTATTTCAGTGCTCTTCTGCATTGCTACACATTTGAATGCCCAGAATAAACTACTGTAATATACTATATTTAAATGTTATAGTATTAAAATGTATGTAAAATATTATTATTACATATGTAAAAACTTTACAGGGATGTGAAGACAAAATAAAGTTTTACCTTTTTCGGTTTCCATAGTTTTGAAGAAATGGATGGGTGTAGGTATATTTGTAGAAGTTTTTTTTGTTGTTGTTGTTGTTGCACTCTGCTGAAGACTTTCTGTCCTATGGAAAAGTAAATAGCCCAGGCTTTTTATATTCTGCCTATTTTAGCCCTCCCATATCCAGATAAATGTTGCAAATATGCAAGCATGCTGGGTGAGTCAGTCTTCAGAATGAGGTGTGGCGGTAAGGTTGGCATCAGAAAATCAGGTCACAACAAGTAGGATAAAAACCTTGGCACAACACAGTTTTCCACATCAAGCGCCGAGTTTTGATACATGGTTACAGTATAGCCTAGGGCATCAACACAGCCTGAGATGACCCTGTCTGACTTCTTTAAATGTGTGTTTTAACATACGCCTTTGAAAAACAAACTTTGTAAATTTGCCAGTGACACATTCCATCACAAAATTCCCATCCATTTTAGATAAATGCACACTTCAACCTGTTCTACTGAGTTAAAGGGTAAATGAGGGCAGTGGAGTCACATAATCCCTGACAAAAAGACTTTTTTCCAGTAATTTTTGTTCTAAGTAAAACTTAAAATAGATTTTACAGAGGAATGTTGCTGGAATGTGCAAATTCTTTTCAATACAAATGGCTTATGCAAACATGAGACCTCATTTAAACTCTTTCTCTTTTATCTGGGATCTAAACAGCCCTATCATTTGTAGTGTGGATTGTTCTTCTTCCTAGATTTGGTAGGAAATTTCACGTTTCCATCGCTTTGTATCATGTGCCACAGTATATATCACTAATTTTAGTTTCTAAAGAAGAGCCATGTACAACCATCAGTGAATAGCTTTTTTTTGCAAGAGAAATACAAACTACACCAACAATGTAGATGTTGAAACACCTGTGCAATATTTGTGTGCAATATATATTTCTGTTGGCGATTTTTCAAAATATATTCTTTTATGTTTCACATAGGTTTGGAGTGACATGATGGCGAGTAAATGAGGTAAACTATTCCTTAAAGTTATTTTTGTTAAATCCCAGGAACTGGAAATATACAGTTTGAGATTTGAGAACTGGGATTTGTGTAAAAACTATTGAAACTATTAAAAAATTGTAAAAACTATATAAAAAAAATAACATTCATAGTTATATTAAATCTTCCAGCAAACCTTTGTCACAGACGATGATGACAAATTCACTTTAAAAAACTTTTCACCGAGAATAGTGTTTCCAGTGGCACTTTTTCCAACTCCAGTTTTTCCCAAAAGAACTATCCTCAGCTCTTCACATGGATTCTGCTGCTCTGGCACTGTTTAAAAGCAATGAAAATATAAATTGTATTACTGCATAATGTAATGTTACATCATTTACATGTATATAAAGTCTGACTCTGAAACTAATATCTGTTGAAAATGTTATTCTTCAAGGAGGTTATGTGCCTATGTTTTATACATTTATTTTTTCTTGATAACAAAATTGTTAAATGTGTTCAAGATCACAATGTTCACTGCCGTGTCTTTCAATGAATGTCAGTTGGAGATTTTCAAACTTTAATCAAGTTTGCACCTTGAAAAAATAACTAATGAGAATAACTGCCTTTAATTCCACGTTTCAAGCACAGCCAAACTCAATCAAAAAAATCATAACATAATAATCTATAATGACAAACTTTCTGTTCAGTTTTTTATTTAATAACAAACAATGTTTACACCAGAGTCATTCAAATTTCGACACACCGTTTCCATCAACTAGTTTCTACATTTTCAGATTCATGTGTTTTATAGAAGACAACTGCATATAGTGAATATGCATGCTTTCTTCCAAACAGGCAATGTTTCAAATTCACATTTGTGTACCTACATTTCAAAGTGTTCTGTAATCTCTCAACTGTCTCATTGAAACAATTAGTGTACCTGCTGTATTGCTATCATTGAGTAACTATTTTTTCATCAGCTTCTTCATAATAAAAAACAGTGGTACTAAACCAATTAAATATACCTTCTTGTTGTCCTTGTTGAACAGGCTGTGCAACATTTCCCAAAATGTTTCACTTTGAGTAACATCTGCTTCCACCTTTGTTACTATCTCATCACTTGGGACACTTGGGGCACTCAGAGGACACTCTGGGATTTTACTCTGTGTTGTTGTCTTAGTAAATGCTGCATACATCAACAGAGCTGCAGCGGCAGCAGTCGCAGCAGCAACAATGTAGAAGTGGCGTGTATTCCAGGACTTTCCCTGCTCCTTGTTTGTCCTAACATAATATTTTTTGTTTCTCTTTCCCAACTGACTGTCCACTTTCTCAAAGAGCTCACTGACCTGACATGTGTTTTCTCTGTCAGTATTATTGAACACATGATACTGTGAGCCACATTTTTGGATCAGTTTCTGCAGGTTTTTATCCTCCCTTACAAACTCATCTACACTTTTATTCTTAAGTTTGTCTCCATATGTAAAAAGCACTATTGTGAACAAATTCACATTTGAGCACAACATCTTCTGGAGAGTGTCCATCACACGTCTTTCTTGCTCAGTGAAGCGACCCAACTGAATAACGAGGAGAAAAGCATGGGGTCCGGGTTCACACAGAGTCAAGGATCTTTCCAGCTCCTGCTCTACAATTGTATTAGAAGCATCACTGTTTAATAAGCCAGGAGTGTCCACAACAGTCACTTTCCTCCCACAGACAACAGCATCCCTCCGTTCACTTGTGGATGTGAGAGAAGTGGCGCTGAGGTCTGAGAGAAACTCTTCTCGGCCCAGAATGGTGTTTCCTGCTGCACTCTTCCCAACCCCCTGAAGGCCGACCAGAACCATTCGAAGGTGCTCCTTCACTCCTGGAAAAATGGAACTTCATTTGTTCAAAAAGAAACTACTTTATATATTAACAAACACACAATGTTACACAAGCAATGAACATATAAGCATATGCTTAAGGCATTACATATCTTAAAAAAACAAACATTTTTTACTAAATTATTTTTATTAATATCACATTTACATTATAATTATGCATTGCAGCACTAAAAGAAACTATAGTGATCCAAAATATTTTTTTTCCATTGCTATAGCATTGAATGTATAGACAGTACAAAATGTGGTATAAAGTATAAAATATGGAACAGTAAGTGCTATTGTCATTTCTTTCTCAATAATTGTGCTAATCAATGACAGTTCAATAACTGATTAAGCAATCAGAAAGCTTGTCTCATTGAAGAGGGCAGGTTTTCACAACAACAGCAGCAGCAACAGCACCTCCTGCCACTGCCAAACCAGCTTTCAGAAACGTATTGTTTCTTTCCGCTCTGTCTCTCGCTTCCTGTTCACTCATTTGTTGTTGCAGCATAAGTCTTTCTTTTTCTTTCTCTATTGCTCTCTCAGCTGCCTGAAGCATTTCGTTTGTGTAATACTCTTCACCATTTACAGTCACAAGCTGGTCTATCTGTTCAAACAGCATGTTGACTTGGTTTGGATCATGTGTGTCGTTGTTAAAAACATGGTATCGCCCACTTGTAGCTTTGATGAAGTTCAGCAGATCAGGACTGTCTTTAACAAACTCATGGATGCTTTTCTGTCCACGCTTCAACTTGTCGCCATGAGTGAACAGCACCATGGTGTATTTTGATGCTTGTTCACCAAAGATTTTCTGAATTTGCTCCACAGTATTTTTTTCCTCTGCTGTAAATCTCCCAAGCTGCACAACCACGAGAAAAACATGAGGGCCTGGCGCCGAGAGCGATATGCACAGTTTTATTTTTGCATCAATCACAGTATTTTCCTCTTTTGTGTCAAACAAGCCTGGAGTGTCAATAACGGCCACTTTGTGCTGATTAACATTTCTTCTGGCTTTATCACATTCTTTGGTCACAGAGGAGGAGGACAGTTCTGAATTAAACTTGTTTTCTCCCAGGATGGTATTTGCTGCTGCAGTCTTTCCTACTCCAGTTTTTCCAATCAGCACAATTCTTATTTCATCACTGCTCTTCAGATTCATCTGCACTGTTAAAGGACAAGGATATTATTACATCTGTATTACTTATTAAGGGTTGGAGGGACTTTTTCTCTGTTAAAAGGAGGGAAAATAGTTACAGACCTTTAATTTAACTGCAATAAAAATCAGTATTTTTGTGGACAATTCAGTGGTGTATAGCACCCATTGTTAAAATTTTTGCAAATCCTTTCTTTATGTGTTTTTATCACGTCTCTTGACCCTGCTGATTAACTAACAATATTGGAACTGGGAATGTTCCGGAGATACAATTTTTAGTTCCACTTGAGATTCCTGAAATTTCGAAACCTATTCTAACAGAAAACTTTTAAAATGTTGTAGATGAGTGTTTATAATGATATTCATTATGCCATGAATTCTTTACCACATGAGTGTCAAACAATTGGTTTTACTTGAGTATATTTTTTCAGTACTCTTTCCACCACTGCCTGGCATTAATATCCTTTTTTTTTTGGCGACCAGATCACACATGGTCAGTGCTAAATTCGGGTGTAAACAGGGTCTAAAACATTTTCTGATTGGATTCCTGAAACCAGGCAGTCATTTGGTACAATAAAATGTAATTTAATGAGATGTACTGCATAAGTTTGAATGTGGTACAATGATATACACACACACACACACACACACACACACACATATGTGTGTTCAACACATACAATATATAGGTGTTCAACAAGTACAAACCATTCACTGATTTTGTCCAAGTTTTCTCATAATGAACTTTTCAAGAGTAGTAAACAGAAACTCTGTGATTATTTTGAGAAATGTGTTGTTTCTCTCTGCTTTCTCTCTTGCCTCCCTCTCTTTTCTTTCCCACAGCTCTGTTATGGCCTGATTCAGAGCCTCTGCTTCATATTTGATTTTCAGATCCTCCAGTTCTTTGCTTCTCTGCTCTTCATTTTCCATTAAGATTCGCTGTTTTTCCTCTTGAATTGTGATCTCTGCCTTCTCAAGCATTTCATTGGTATAAAAGTGCCCTCTATTCTCAGAAATCATCTTGTGCATTTTTTCAAAAAGTTGCTCAACCTGCATGGTATCTTTGTTCTCATTATTAAAAACATGATATCGCTTCTGGCAATGCTCAAAGAGTGTCTTTAAATCAGGATTGCCAGCGACAAACTCTTGAACATTTCTACCCTCAAACAGACAACAGCATCCCTCCGTTCACTTGTGGATGTGAGAGAAGTGGCGCTGAGGTCTGAGAGAAACTCTTCTCGGCCCAGAATGGTGTTTCCTGCTGCACTCTTCCCAACCCCCTGAAGGCCGACCAGAACCATTCGAAGGTGCTCCTTCACTCCTGGAAAAATGGAACTTCATTTGTTCAAAAAGAAACTACTTTATATATTAACAAACACACAATGTTACACAAGCAATGAACATATAAGCATATGCTTAAGGCATTACATATCTTAAAAAAACAAACATTTTTTACTAAATTATTTTTATTAATATCACATTTACATTATAATTATGCATTGCAGCACTAAAAGAAACTATAGTGATCCAAAATATTTTTTTTCCATTGCTATAGCATTGAATGTATAGACAGTACAAAATGTGGTATAAAGTATAAAATATGGAACAGTAAGTGCTATTGTCATTTCTTTCTCAATAATTGTGCTAATCAATGACAGTTCAATAACTGATTAAGCAATCAGAAAGCTTGTCTCATTGAAGAGGGCAGGTTTTCACAACAACAGCAGCAGCAACAGCACCTCCTGCCACTGCCAAACCAGCTTTCAGAAACGTATTGTTTCTTTCCGCTCTGTCTCTCGCTTCCTGTTCACTCATTTGTTGTTGCAGCATAAGTCTTTCTTTTTCTTTCTCTATTGCTCTCTCAGCTGCCTGAAGCATTTCGTTTGTGTAATACTCTTCACCATTTACAGTCACAAGCTGGTCTATCTGTTCAAACAGCATGTTGACTTGGTTTGGATCATGTGTGTCGTTGTTAAAAACATGGTATCGCCCACTTGTAGCTTTGATGAAGTTCAGCAGATCAGGACTGTCTTTAACAAACTCATGGATGCTTTTCTGTCCACGCTTCAACTTGTCGCCATGAGTGAACAGCACCATGGTGTATTTTGATGCTTGTTCACCAAAGATTTTCTGAATTTGCTCCACAGTATTTTTTTCCTCTGCTGTAAATCTCCCAAGCTGCACAACCACGAGAAAAACATGAGGGCCTGGCGCCGAGAGCGATATGCACAGTTTTATTTTTGCATCAATCACAGTATTTTCCTCTTTTGTGTCAAACAAGCCTGGAGTGTCAATAACGGCCACTTTGTGCTGATTAACATTTCTTCTGGCTTTATCACATTCTTTGGTCACAGAGGAGGAGGACAGTTCTGAATTAAACTTGTTTTCTCCCAGGATGGTATTTGCTGCTGCAGTCTTTCCTACTCCAGTTTTTCCAATCAGCACAATTCTTATTTCATCACTGCTCTTCAGATTCATCTGCACTGTTAAAGGACAAGGATATTATTACATCTGTATTACTTATTAAGGGTTGGAGGGACTTTTTCTCTGTTAAAAGGAGGGAAAATAGTTACAGACCTTTAATTTAACTGCAATAAAAATCAGTATTTTTGTGGACAATTCAGTGGTGTATAGCACCCATTGTTAAAATTTTTGCAAATCCTTTCTTTATGTGTTTTTATCACGTCTCTTGACCCTGCTGATTAACTAACAATATTGGAACTGGGAATGTTCCGGAGATACAATTTTTAGTTCCACTTGAGATTCCTGAAATTTCGAAACCTATTCTAACAGAAAACTTTTAAAATGTTGTAGATGAGTGTTTATAATGATATTCATTATGCCATGAATTCTTTACCACATGAGTGTCAAACAATTGGTGCATTCTATGCATTACAACCAGATATTTTGTGATCTTCAGTTTCACAATCATAAGGAAAACAGCCACCACCATTGTACAGTATATTACATGACATAAAAACCTTGCTTTTGGATAAAGATTTTATTTTGTATTATTTTATCATCATCATAAAATTAATACATGAAATGCTCTACTACACAATTTACAAAATTGTGGCAGTCTTTTCCCATTGCAGCTCTAATATGCTAATATCCTTTAATTAATTGTTGCTGTCTATTTATTTCAGTGCTCTTCTGCATTGCTACACATTTGAATGCCCAGAATAAACTACTGTAATATACTATATTTAAATGTTATAGTATTAAAATGTATGTAAAATATTATTATTACATATGTAAAAACTTTACAGGGATGTGAAGACAAAATAAAGTTTTACCTTTTTCGGTTTCCATAGTTTTGAAGAAATGGATGGGTGTAGGTATATTTGTAGAAGTTTTTTTTGTTGTTGTTGTTGTTGCACTCTGCTGAAGACTTTCTGTCCTATGGAAAAGTAAATAGCCCAGGCTTTTTATATTCTGCCTATTTTAGCCCTCCCATATCCAGATAAATGTTGCAAATATGCAAGCATGCTGGGTGAGTCAGTCTTCAGAATGAGGTGTGGCGGTAAGGTTGGCATCAGAAAATCAGGTCACAACAAGTAGGATAAAAACCTTGGCACAACACAGTTTTCCACATCAAGCGCCGAGTTTTGATACATGGTTACAGTATAGCCTAGGGCATCAACACAGCCTGAGATGACCCTGTCTGACTTCTTTAAATGTGTGTTTTAACATACGCCTTTGAAAAACAAACTTTGTAAATTTGCCAGTGACACATTCCATCACAAAATTCCCATCCATTTTAGATAAATGCACACTTCAACCTGTTCTACTGAGTTAAAGGGTAAATGAGGGCAGTGGAGTCACATAATCCCTGACAAAAAGACTTTTTTCCAGTAATTTTTGTTCTAAGTAAAACTTAAAATAGATTTTACAGAGGAATGTTGCTGGAATGTGCAAATTCTTTTCAATACAAATGGCTTATGCAAACATGAGACCTCATTTAAACTCTTTCTC